CTGTACATGTTCTTGATATTCTTTCCTGAACTCATCAGTGAAGATGAGAATGTCATCAAGATATACAGATGTGAATTCATTAAGGAAATCTCAGAGTGCTCAGTTAATATACTTCTGAAATATACTGAAGACATTAGTCAGTCTGAAGAAGGTAACTATTCATTCAAAGAGATCATATCATGTGCAGAATGCTGTAAGTCACTCATCTTCTTCAGTGATGTGAATCTTATGAAACACAGTGATAACATCTAGTTTTATAAACTATTGAGCTTGTTCAATATAAGCTAGAGTTTTATTGATAAGAGATAGCAGATAGCAGTCTTTCTTTGTTATTCTGTTCAGTTCTCAATAGTTCATACAGAATCAGAGTTCTTCATCTGATTTCTTTACAAAGAGAATAGAAGCTGCAGTGAAAGAATTACTAATACATATGAATTCTTTATTTAATAGATTATTGAGTGTCTTTTGAAGAAGAAGAAGTTCATCTTAGAACATGTTATAAGAAAGATCTCATGACAGTTCAGAGTTCTTATCATTCTTCTTCTCTAACTTGATACTGTGATTCACTTCAGAACCTTGTAAGAGAGATATATTTATAATATTATCTTGTCAGAATACATCTAGATATTCATAATATTATTGAGAAAGTTTTGTATGAGAATCTGTTATTGTAACACAGAATAACTTTTCTAAGATCTTTTTAATATCAGTCAGACTGATGAAATAGATTGTCACATGATTCTGCTGTCAGTAACTTCTTTTTCAGAGCATTTCATATGTGTTAACAGAGATCTGTGTCAGATTCATGATCTTGTGAATATCATCTTCATGAATTCTATTATTGTTAGAGAATATCAAGCTTCTGTTTTAAGCATTCAATAAGATGCCTTGTTCAGATAGTCAGACAAGTTCTAATATAAGATTATAATAAAGATTATCAACTTCATATATATGAACATCTTCATGTTAATATTCTTTCATATCTATGATCAGCTTCACTATGTAACAGATACAAATGTCTTTTAAATTATCAAATCCTGCAAGAAGTCAGGATTTTGATAAGAGAATACACTGAAGGTTATGATGTCTTATAACTGAAGATTTTATCATTGTATAGTGACATAGATTACTGTCTATCATGGCTTTCATATTATACATGTTATCAATCACAGTAGATACAAGAATTGCATTCATTGTCATTTTCTCTTCAAATCATTGTCATCTGACCTCTTCAAGCTTCTGTTTGCAAATTTGAACAGGAGCTAATCTTTTTCCTGTTTCATCAGAGTATTCTCATAGTTATCTTTCAAATCCTTCTCTAATGTAACATGGTTGAAGCAGACAGACACTGATTCATTCTTTGAACAAGAAGGCACATAGACTGATCAACAGTTGAAAGCAATGTGCTCTGATCAGTTACAGTTAGTTGATGTACACTTCTCATTGACATTGATCAGTGACTTCTTCAGAAGTTATCCCAGAGACTCAGAAGCCTGTTCAGACAGTGAAGACTCTTGCTTATGTATAGACATTTAAGTCTACTCAGTTCATAGCATCTGCATCATTGTTGTTATTCCTCAGTGCAGGTGTGTGAATATAACATCTTCTGCCACTGTTCTGTATACTCTTGAGCTTGATAAGACAGTTGTTCAATGTCCGGAGCTGTGTGCAGAAATCTTCATAAGTCTGGTCTTCATCTACACTTACAAGGGCCTGTAAGAGTTTGAAAGTTAATGTCTTCTTGAGCATGCTAATCTTCATTCAATTCTCTCAAGATTGATCACCTGCTTCTAGAATCTTGATGTTGAAGTCAGGAATGAATGTTGTAAGAGAAGTGTTTCTCTGTCAGATACTCTGTAATCAATCTAACACTTTCTGTTGCATGGCAGTGTCTCAGAACAGAATATCAAGATATTTAATAATATTGTCAGGTGTTTGTAATGCTGATTTATATACTTTCATTCATGAATGAAACTTCTGTTTCATGCGATTCTTTAATTATTCATTGATATATTAATCTTGATTGATTAATGAATCAATGACATCTTCATCTACACTCAGTTTCATAAGCATTTCCATCCTTCATGATGAGTAGAGAGTGAGATTGAAAGTATTGAAATATATAAAAGTATCTAAGTATTCTTTCAGTGCTTTTGTATTTGATTCTGTAGATGTTGAAATTGCATGAGTTCCTTGTTATGATAATCATTGAATCTCTTCATATTAACATTGTTGAGTTGCATGCATATCAGCTATTTATTGTTATTGTAATTTCAACATTGCTCAGAGTCACTGTGGTATTACATCTATGCTCATGTTCAAGAGTTCTCTCATATTGTTATTAGACATGATTATATCATTTGTCAGATGTGTGATATCTGTGAAAGTGTAATTGTATGAATATCTCATACATCTGAGATATCAGAACTCTCAGGTCTTTCACTGATATTCTCTTGTAAGATCTTACTCTCTTCATAAGATCTTGTTATAAGGTCAGAATGACTGGTGAGTAAGCTTCTATCTGAGAACTCAGTGTTCACTTAACTATTTAACTGTTTCTCTATTTCTTACATGTTGTTACACATTCAAATATCTCAATGAATAATCATTTCTAATAAGAAGATAATGCATGAATAATCATTTCTAATAAGAAGGCCTACGCTGAATAGATCAGTATGATATTGATAGGTCTTATATAACAAAGAGAAAAATGTTAAAGAAAAGAAAGAGAAAGTATGAGAATCAGTGATCAGAGTGAATATTTATACACATTTATAGTGATATATGCAGTGAAGCTTCGGGGCAGAAGAATCTATACGCGTTCGTGGCAGCCGAGGATCAGTGATTGAGAATGGCCAAGAATCGGAGCATACACATACAAGAATGAAGTGATTGAAATCTGTGAAGTGCAACAGAATAGTCTATATAATTGATCAGGCGCAGCCCGCCACAGAGAGTATTTTCTTTAAAGAATTATTTTTATCTCAATCAAGAAATCTATTTCAATTCAGTTCATTTTCAGAGTTAATTGATAAAAATGAAGAAGAGACTCTTTCACTGATTATATAATTTAAGCTTATCTTTATAACTCTCAGAGCATAGTTTATACAGATCTTTTTAAATCTAATAGTAAAAGAGAGAATTAAAGCTTTAATTTTTATTACTTTAATAGAACATGATTTGAATATTCTCAGAATTCTTCTTAAATCTCTGTTTTACAAACTTTGAAAGAGTTCAGTAAAATTCTCTTGATTATTTTATTAAACTTAAACTTCATAATCAGCTACTGAGATGATATAGATAATATATAACTATCTTATAGTCTGAAAGAATAGATCTCTCTCTGTATTTAATAGTTTAATTATACTATTTAATAGTCTTTCTACCTTAATAGTGTCAGGTCACGTGATATGGCTTACTAATCCTTCCACCGTATAACTTTTCACAAGCTAGCAACCTTTCAATCACAAAAGCTTTACATCTTCCACAGGTTGTGAGATCTGTTTTATGCAAAAATCACTGCTAATTCAGGATTTCTTGTTGATATAATTATTATTTAACTACTGCTTCATTCAATACACTCATCAAGAGTTAAAATTGTCTTATTCTATCAGTATTGATGTGTTTGAGATCTTGTTGATCAAAAATATCACTGCTCACTTAAAAAGAAGCTTGCAGAAAACACATCACATTTGCAAAAAAGTAAGAAAAGAGAATGATATTAACAAGAATTTAATAAATGAATATCAAGATAACGAATTCATTACAATCTCACTCATATATATATTCACAATCTTATGTTCTTTTTACTGAATCAGTTACAGATGTTGATACTTCTTCACACTTATACTCTGTCAGTGAACATTCTTCTGAAGTCTTTGAAAGCTTCATTGATGAATGCTCTGAAACACTCTCTTGATTTGAAGCTGATTTGAATACAGCTTCTGACATGATCAGGCTGGTTCTCTGATCTACTCAACAGCTTGATAAAGCTGATTCTCATGAAGTCAACAGTTCAGGTGAGACAATATCAGATCAACAGATAAAGTATCTTAAGATAATATTTAAGATGAAGAAGAAGAAGTGAAGAGTTCTAGAACTTGAACTATAACTGAAAAAACTCTGTCAACAGAGATTCTCTACAGATTAATCACAGAATATTAACAATTATTCTATCATCATCTCAACAGCTCATACAGTCATATGAAATTCTAATCTCAGTGAAAGATTGGAATTCAATCTTTATAAACTGAATAGCTGTGTTGACAAGGCAATCTCTTAATTCAAGAAAGATGTCAAGAATACTGTGAGATTAAACAGTCTAACTGATACATTCAATTACATCACATGAAGCATCTTCATGAAATTGAAACTGATTAATGCACAGTGTTAATATATGATAGAGAAACAACAGACTCAGAATTCTCTACAAAGAGATGATGAATGAGTATCATTCTGAGATGTCAGAAACTGATGACTCTACACATTTATCTTGAACTCATTGAATGCAGGTGTCAGATCACATTTCTTTAAATATAATGAAAATCTGATTGCTTATACTCTATGAAATATGATCAAACAGAAATACTCTGTTCTTAAAACACAGTTACACTGTGAGACAGTTCTGAAATTCATGTTATTTGATGATACACAGGTTATCAATCTACACACATTCTTTGATAAGTTCGGATCTGTTATCATGAAATTAGAGATAATGAATACTTTCTTCTCAGATGCATGAATATTTAATATCTTTTACTCAGTTCTACTCAACAATTGAAGAAATTATGTTCAGAAGAAGATAGAGAAGATACAGAATTTCAAATTCACAGCTGTGATATTAAATATTGATCTTCTCATGAAGAAGATCTGTTCATGACTTGATTCTTGAAAAGATAAAAAGAATCTACAGAATACAGATTCTGCAGCTAACACTGTTATAATAGATATAATAATCACTATATCTATCAATTCTAACAACAATAATACATTGAATTCAGTCTGTGAAGACTGTACTGAATATGATTGTAATAGTACTCAAGAAGGCTTCTGAAACCAACAACATTCTCAACCACTCCACCACGAACTCGCTCGATTTTTCGAATAAGAACCCGCCGATAGATCCATCGAAAAGCCCTCGATCATACGAGCATTCTGACCCCATCGCCGACCGCATACCCTGTGTGGTGGTGGAGTTATTCAGCCAAACATGAACCAGACTTTGTTTGAAACTCCAGTGTGGGATTATCCCCCATTCTCCCCTATCACACCACAATCCCGGGCCAAATTGTCATACAAATTGTAAGATGAAGAGACCTAGCCATATGCACCAAACTTCTTGATTTTGGAAGATCCCTGATCTGTAGTTGTGGAGATATCTGAGGAGTGACCTCTGCGAAAACCCTGTTCATCTTTGATGTTTCAAAACATCAACATCAAGTCTCACCCTCATACCGCCCTTTCTAATCTGGCCCATCCTCAGCAGAAAAATACAAAAAGATATCTCAGTAATAATATCAAGCACATAATCAACAGCTACTTCTGAAGTGCAATCTCTACAGTCTGTCTTCAGTGTATCTAGACATCAACACTAAGTCTCACCCTCATATCATCTCTCTCAATCTGGCTCATCCTCAGTAGAAAAGTACAAAAAGATACCTCAGCAACTGTATTTAATACATAATCAGCAGACACAATAACTATAAAATCAGTATATCTCAAGATCTGACTGAGTCTTTGATCCCTGCACAGTGAGATATATTAAATCTAGTTTTAATATCTCAATATTTAATAGATTCTGTAAGAAATTGAGAATAGCAACACTAGATTTCTATTGAATTTGAGAATTAACTCTATATTAATATAATCATTGACAAAGTCTTCTATTTTGAGATATAAATAACCAGTTTCCCTACATTCTGCTGACAATATTTATATTATTATATAGAAACAGACTTATATTCTCTATAATATCAAGACTCTGAAGAGAGAAAGTCTTGATAGAGAGTATACAGTAGTATATATCTTAGCAGTTTCTATCTTATTCTTCTACAGCAGTTAATACAAAAAAAAAAAAGATCTTAGAAATAGTTTTTTACTTCTCTTGAAAAAGTAAGATATTTTTCTCTGAATTTTATATAATATTCTTACAAAGAATTAAAAATAGAGCTGTTTTCTATCATAATTTCATATTCTTTTAAGTAAGAATTA